TTTTCTCCTTAAAAAGATTAATCATGTCGGATCTCTCCCCCGCTTTGGGGAAAATATGCTGCTGTGAGGGAAGAATTGTTTATAAGCATTATGTGAAAAAATATTAAAAATATTATTTATAATTTAAATTTATATATATTTATTTAGTAATAAAAATTTTATTAATATTTTTATTAAAAATATTTATTTAATAAATTTATTTAAATTTATTTAAAATTTACACTTTTAATTTATGTAATAAAACTTTTTAATTTATTAATTATAATTCTTATTCTTAATTTTAATAAAAAAATTCATAAATTTTACCTATTAAATTTTGTGTAAATCATTCCCTGTGTTGTGATAGCTGTATTTTGATAGCACACCAACGATACAATTAAGGGCTTTCAACTTCAGTTGCAGTGGTTCTTTGTTATAAAATATTTTTGTTTGGACATTGACTGTTTTATTTTTAGGCATAATAATAGATTTTTTTGGTTAAATCATTGACTATCATAATTAATATTACTACCATCATTATATTTACATACAAATATCTTCACTAATTTTAATTTCATAATTATAAATTCAATGTCATAACTATAATAATTCCTTTCACTACTACTCTCATTTACAATGTCAATCTAACCTTTTCATTCATCCAAATGCATTTAAAATTTTGGGAGATGAAGAAGTATAGAGAGACGTTCATGGCACGGACGACCGCACAAAAATCCCGTACCACTAAGTTATGAGATGAGTGAGCCCCGAGAGGCGCGGCTTGTCTTTTACTACCAGCACTGTGTGCCATGAGTAGTCAAAAAAGGAAGACGGAAAAAAAAAAAAGCTTTATGATTGAGACAAATAAAGGACACGCGGCAGTCGTTGGGACCAATTGTAATGATTCTGAAGTTCAGAAAAAAATCCTGCAACGGCCCCGCCCCCCCCCCCCCCCCCCGGGTGTTCTCTCTCTCTCTTTCTCCCTCCTCGTACATCTGCGGCCAATGTCTCGTACACCTCTGCTTTACATTCCATGGTTGTTTTCTTCCTTGCATGTTCAAATCATATTTTTACATTATCATCACTTATTTCAACTCTTTTTACATTATATCACTTATTTCAACTTTTTGGTTCGTTTGAAAATTTGAAAGTTGGTAAATTATTCAATTTTTTATATTAAAATAAAATATTTTATATATGATAATTTAAAATAATTAATTATAAATCATGTATTTAAAATGATCTTAACAAATGATCACTTATAAGATTCGAATTTAAAATTTTTTCGTAAAAAAAAATTTTTTTTAACCGATTAAATCAATAACTTATTTTAACTTTATATTTTTATACATGTCTTGCACATCAAAACTAGCATTATGTAATTATTTTTTATAATCTATCTAAATTAAACTTCGTCTTTTCTTTCGAAGATAAAAGGATGTCGAAAATGGAAGTAGAAAGCGAAAAAAAACTATCATAACATGACAAAAGATCGAGAAAAAAGCCAAGTAAACGTCCATGCATTCACAATTCTAAGTGAAAATTTGAAAAAAAAAAAGCAAAAACAAATATTTATTGCCTTATATTTAAGTAACTTTTTTTATATGCTTTTGGCCACAAGGATTTGTTAAGCGTGTGATTTTGGCTGCAAGGGCTATAGCTAAGTGCAAAAATGTTATATTGAGCAATTTTTAACAGAGCTAGTTTGAAAGATGTTGTTGGGAATATTGACTCAAATCTCATAAGAGATTTGTTTGAGATTTGTTAAAGATTTGTTTGAGATTTGTCAGATATTGCTTGATGGACAAGAAGACTTGCAAAAGAAGAATTCTAAGAGAAAGAAGATTCTTAATAGGTAAGTTTGACTTGCAAGAAAAGAATTCTAAAAGGAAAGGGATTCTTAATAGGCAAGTTTGACTTACAGAAAAAGAATTCTAAGAGGAGATGGATTCTTAATGGGCAAGTTTGTATGGTTATAAATAGGTGAAGTCTCTACAGGGTTAGGTATGAGAAAAAAGATGTAAGAGAGTTGTAGAGTTTTGTGGGATAGACACCCCATAGGAGTATTGTGGCTTTACGTCTTATTGGTGTGTATGTTTGTTTGTGAGTGGATTAGAGGAGATTGAGAGGGTCCACATAGGTATGATGTATAGGAGCATATGGGTATGTGTTTGGTTATGTTGAAAGAGTGCACAAGGGTTTGAGTTTGTGTTTGTTTGGGTTGAGAATACTCTATAGGACTAGAGGAGATTGAGAGTGTCTTATGAGTATTGATTGTTGAGTGAGATTGATAATTTGATATATGTTTGTAATTTTCTACAACTAGTGGATCTTGTTTCTCATCCGTGGATGTAAGTCAGTTGGACCGAACCACGTTAAATTGTTGTCTCTTATGTGTTTGATTTATTGTTTGATTTCGCTTTTGCTGGTGTGATTGGATTGAAGGCTTTTAGCCCAACAAATGGTATCAAAGCAGTGGTGATCCCCAACAAATGGTATCAGAGCTATGGTGTTCCCCAACAAGTGGTATCAGAGCTGAAGATTTGAAATGTGAGAAGAGTTGAAGATTTGGAAAGAGCTGAAAGTTTGAGATATGGGAAGAGCATGGTTTGAGACATGAGAAGAAGCAAGTTCAGAAGAGCTCGATTCGAGAGAAGAGTTCAAGTTTAAGTTTTGAAGATTGATGATTGGTTTGTATGAAGCGTGAAGACATAAGAGAAGAGAAGATGATTGTGAGACTTCTATTGTAGGTGAAGCCAAGCATGTCTAGCATGAAGATAGATGATTGATGGAATTTGAGTCAAGGTGAAGATTGTTGGGAATATTGACTCAAATCTCATAAGAGATTTGTTTGAGATTTGTTAGAGATTTGTTTGAGATTTGTCAGATATTGCTTGATGGACAAGAAGACTTGCAAAAGAAGAATTCCAAGAGAAAGAAGATTCTTAATAGGTAAGTTTGACTTGCAAGAGAAGAATTCTAAAAGAAAAGTGATTCTTAATAAGCAAGTTTGACTTACAGGAAAAGAATTCTAAGAGGAGAGGGATTCTTAATGGGCAAGTTTGTATGGTTATAAATAGGTGAAGTCTCTACAGGGTTAAGTATGAGAAAAAAGATGTAAGAGAGTTGTAGGGTTTTGTGGGATAGATACCCCATAGGAGTATTGGGGCTTTACGTCTTATTGGTGTGTATGTTTGTTTGTGAGTGGACTAGAGGAGATTGAGAGGGTCCACATAGGTATGATGTATAGGAGCATATGGGTATATGTTTGGTTATGTTGAAAGAGTGAACAAGGGTTTGAGTTTGTGTTTGTTTGGGTTGAGAATACTCTATAGGACTAGAGGAGATTGAGAGTGTCTTATGAGTATTGATTGTTGAGTGAGATTGATAATTTGATATATGTTTATAATTTTCTACAACTAGTGGATCTTGTTTCTCATCCGTGGATGTAGGTCAGTTGGACCGAACCACGTTAAATTGTTGTCTCTTATGTGTTTGATTTATTGTTTGATTTCGCTTCCGCTGGTGTGATTGGATTGAAGGCTTTTAGCCCAACAGATGTGTGTACTTGTAAATAGAATTTCTCTAACATTAATATTTCGATTGATGCAATTTTATTATTGTACTTTTAATTTTGAAGCTATTTTATTATCATACTTCAAATTTTGGAACAACTAAAGAATATTCATTCTGTCACAAACTGTATAATTCAAAAAAATCTAAAAAAATAATTGAAAATGTATGAAGTGGTATTATAAGTAATAAAAAATCTCAAGAAAAAATAAAAAAAATAATATAAGAAGAAAGAACTTCGATTATTTACAATTAGTAGAAAATATTATGACAAAAGAAAAAAATAAATAAAATAAAAAGAAAATTTTAGATTTTAGTTTTAGGGTCTTTTTTTCTTACCTATTATTTTTCTAAATTATTTTTTTGAATTGTAAAACCGTATCTAACAAATTTTTATATTAAATATTCTTTAATTATTTTAAAAGTTAAAATATAATGATATATTTATTCCAAAATTAAAAAAAAATTATTTCCTTCATTATCATTAGAATTTTTAAATTACACAATTGAAATTAATAGAGTAAAACATATCCCTTAAAATATATTTAGAAAGTAAAAAATCTGAATAAAAAATGTTAAATACTAATTGACAATGTATTTAAATACTAACTCAATTAAAAATACAATGTTAAGATTATATTATTTAAAAAATTGATGATAAATTTAAGCCACTCACATAAATGTAATGATAAATTTGCATCTTATCCCACTTTACATATTTTAGTTATATAAAAAAGAAAAAGAAATCTTATCCGTTACAATTCCATGTTAAATTCCCCTCATTATGATCAATTTTGTATTTTGAAATTGAAAGTCATTCGATAATAGTTGCTACAATTTTTATTTATGAATGCAGTCTCATTAAAAAAAAGATAATAATAATAATAATAATAAAAGGCTTCTATTTATAACATTTTAATAAAACGTTTAAAATATTACTCTTTAATAAATTTCTTTAATTTAATATGATTTTTTTCTCTTAATCCTTTAAATACTTAATTAAAAAGAAAAAAAACGAAACGAAGGATCTTCTCTTTCTTTCTATTAATTTTTTATTAAATGGTAGTGGCATGGTAAAGAAGGAAGAGAGAGACACCGCCCACTCATCCCATGAAATGCTTCCACAGTGCAAACTCTATCCCTCCTCTCTCGTTCCGTCATTCAAATATTAAATTTTATCACCTCAACCAAAGAGAAGCAAAGAACCTCGGTGCTCGTGCGAACCCTCTCTCTTTCTCTCTTTCTTTCTTTCACATTGACCCTCTTTAGCTTTAATCTTCCTCTACCTCTATATCTGTGTCATCCTACCTCTCCTTAACTCTCCCGTGGTTTCATCGCTTCTCTCTTTCTCTTTCGAAACAAACTGCTTCTCCTGCTACTACTACGGCTAGTTGTTCCACTATTTCGAATTAACAAAAAAACACAGGCACCCATTACTCATATCTCTTTACTCCTTTGGAATCTTTTTCACCTGGCTAGGCTAATATTACATGTTATTATGGATATGAACATGGGGAACATGGATTCTTCTTCCACTCGCAATTGGATTGCTTTCTCTCTTTCCAAACACCAACAACATCTCAACCTGCCTTCTTCTTCTTCTCATCTCTGTCTCTATGAAACTTTCACCTCTTCCACCACCACCACAACCGCCCCAACAACAACCAACTCTTCAGGTACTTAATTTTAAAACTCTCTTGCTGTACTACTTCCTTTTCGTTTTGTTTTTTTTTTATTGTAATATTAAGTACTATTAATTTCTGAGGTGATCTTGTTGTGGATGCAGCAGCAGCAGCAGAAGAAGATGCAGGTGCAGGTACCATCGCTGGTGCAACAGACTCTTCCATGTTTAATGGTGGCACAAAACTCGAGGATTTTCTTGGCGGTTCTTCCACCACAACTGGAGTTGGAGGTGTACCCCTGCCACAGTTGCCTCGTCATCATCAATTTTCTACTGAAACACCCGTGACTATCTCTGACAACGAATTATATGACTCCGAGCTCAAAACCATAGCTGCTAGTTTTCTTCGTGGATTTTCCTCTGAACAAACGGACACTCACAAACAACAACAACAACAACAACTGCGGCAACATCAACAGATGCCTAAAGCTGAGCCTTCACCCAGAGGAGCTGTTGATACTTTTGGTCAACGTACTTCTATCTACCGAGGAGTCACCAGGTACATAAATGAAATAAACAAATATTACTAGTAATTACCCCCTTCCCCTCCAAATAATATACCACTACAAAATATAGAATTGATTGTTTCATTTTTTCTGTTGGTTTGATTTAGGCATAGATGGACCGGAAGATATGAAGCCCACTTGTGGGACAATAGCTGCAGAAGAGAAGGCCAAAGTAGGAAAGGAAGGCAAGGTAAATTTATACTAAATAGTTTTTCTTTTTTTTTTCTTTTTCCAAATCATTTTGTTCTTCTGAAAATATTTGAGGGTTTTTAATGTTGTAAATGGATCCATTGAGATCTAGGTCTCATCAACAACTGACCAACTGTTGACTCAACGGTCCTTGAGGAAGTTGCATGGTTGTTGAGTTGCATATGTAACCGGAATAAACAGGGGTTAAAAGAACGTTAATGGAGGCAATTTGTAGGGCTAAGACCTTCTTTTGCAGTTTTGAATACCAAGAGCGGGCATTAGATTTTTGCCTACTGATTTTGCTTTAGTGTTCATTTATTACTATTGGTATTATGAATTGTTAAAGATTCTAATATGCTTATGTTTGCTCTTTATGTGGCATGTACAATGATTGATTGCTGCCATGGATGTTCAAATTCTTCATCATTGTTTTTTCAGTTTATTTGGGTGAGTTTCCAGTTTCTAAGTACTATAATTAAAGATCATCATTTTTCTTTTACTGTAACATGAAATATTCTTTCTTGATCACCGTCAATAATTACTTCAGATTGGAGTACTGTTGTTAGATTTTTGTCACTGTAACACAAGATTCTTCTCTTTTGCATGGATATGTCATCAACTTCAGCTTTTCATGAAGATTCTCACTTCGTTTTTTTTTTCCCCTAAATTCTTTTAGGTGGCTATGACAAGGAAGAGAAAGCAGCAAGAGCTTATGATCTTGCGGCACTCAAGTACTGGGGTCCGACCACTACGACAAACTTTCCGGTAAACGATCCTGTTTCTCGGATTCTGTCTTGCTCTTTTTTTCTATTTCTATTCGATATTATTAAAATTTTTTCGCTTTTTCTGTAGATTTTTAACTACGAGAAGGAACTAGAAGAGATGAAAAACATGACTAGACAAGAGTTCGTTGCTTCTCTCCGAAGGTAATTAAATTGGTACACTTAATTTCGCTATAGACTTTTAGGTCTTTTTTCAGCAAAGATTAAGCTCTCTTTTTGGTTAATTTTATGTTTCAGGAAAAGTAGTGGATTTTCAAGGGGTGCCTCAATTTACAGAGGTGTCACCAGGTTCGTTATTACATTTGTTATTATACCTTGTCTTTTTGCTCGTTAGTCTGGAGTCAATTAGATTACAATAATATATTTCAAGTGAACATAAAATAATCGGTTTTTCCTTCTAACTTTATGTCTCAGGCATCATCAACATGGTAGGTGGCAGGCAAGAATAGGAAGAGTTGCAGGCAACAAAGATCTCTATCTTGGCACATTTAGTGAGTGGTCTTTCTTCCTTTTATTTATTTCCAAAGATTACTGAACCACTATTATATTATATAATTTGTCTTATTTCTCCCTTTTTGTCGACAAACAAACAATGTCCTTAAAATATGAACATATTTGTTGCGCAGGCACCCAAGAAGAAGCAGCTGAGGCCTATGATATTGCTGCAATCAAATTTAGAGGCCTAAACGCAGTGACAAATTTTGACATGAGCCGCTACGATGTAAAAAGCATTGCCAACAGCAATCTACCCATCGGAGGACTAAGCAACAAATCCAGAAACTGCTCTGATTCAGCTTCTGATAGTAAGAGCACCGACGACGACCGAGATCACTCCTCAGCATCATCCGCTGTGACCTTTGCATCTCAGCCTGCTGCAAGCTCCACTCTCAGCTTTGCAATTCCCATCAAGCAAGACCCGTCTGATTATTGGTCCAATATTATGGGATACAATAACACTGCTGTTTTCCTGAGCAATGGCAAGAACCCTAGTGTCGCACCAACTAATTTTTTTCATCAGTCATCAAACAATGGGTCCGGGTTCCAAAGTCCCAGTGGTTTCAGTATGGATTTTGGTGGGAATTCTGCAGTCAACGGAAGCATTAACAATGGGTTTTTCAGTGGAGGTGGTTGTGTTCAGCAGAAGCAGCTGCAGCAGCAACAACAGAGCGGTGTTATTTCTTCAACATCTTCCCTCCCATTTGCTACACCAATTGTCTTAAATAATAGCGGTAACAACAATTATGAGGGCTCTTCTGGCTATGGTAGCTGGAACATTGCACAATCTTTGCATTCTTATCAAACTGCAAAGCCAAGGCTCTCAGTGTTCCAGACACCCATTTTTGGCATGGAATGATCTGACGTACAGAAGAATATTGGGGATAAAAAACTATGCAAAGGCAAGGCTGAAAAGGAATTCAAGACAAATACTGTGGGGGGTTAGATTGCTTTTTTTTTTTTTCCTTCAAATTTTCCTTGAATAGGTGAGGTGGACTGACAAGCATAGGCATTTCACAGGAGCTGACAGTGCTAACTCAAGTTCTTCTGTTAAGGGCCTTGCTTCCTTTTCTTTACTTTTGTCCTTTACTGACATGAGTTATATATGGGGTATAAATGAAAAAGGAGATCCTTTTCTCCACAGCTCAGTGAATTGTTAGTATCAAATCATTAATGTAAAACTGAAAATCCTCCATTAATTTTCTATTGGCGAAGGATGTAATTAGGAATAAACCGATTTCGTTAAAAGGATTTTGTTGCTGAGTGTGAAAGGCATCATTCCTTTAATTTCCACATTATTAATAATGGGAAATCTCAAGATATTGGCCTCCAGGTTCAATTTTTATCCCAAAGAGAAAAAGCAAAAGGAAAAATGGGACGACTTTTTATGCATTATAATTATGTTAGACTTGCGTGGTATGAGCGCTTTCCCTACTTTTCTTTTCAATGCTCTATAAATTTATATATCAGACTATGCTATTTGCACATAATAAATATATATAACTAAATAAAATGATGTTTTAAAAACAAAAAAATATGTATACATGTACATATTTATAACCTTTCCTCTATACATTTTAAACCATAAATTTCATTGTTGGGATTTTATTTATTTGTCTTATTTATTAATGTGATCATAAAAAATATTTATTAATATTTGGATCAGTTTTTATGATATTAAAATTGAGAGTTAAAAATTATGAATTTAAAAATTTTATATGCAAAATAATTTTTAATTAACTAAATATTAAGATAAAATTTTAAAAATAAATTAAAGTTAAAAAAAAAATGGCATCACAATATCCTTAAATGTGAAATGCGAATGAAAAATCTTTTGACGTGAGACTTAGGGAACAGGTTTCTTTGTAGGTTGATTGGACATAGCTAACGACAGAATTCAATAGTAACTTTGTGTATAAAATATGAGAACAAACAAAGTGAACAGGCAGACTGGGAACGATATGAGAAAACACACACATGTCTTAATCAAGGGGGAAAAAACTCGCAATTATATAAATTGTAAAGTGTATTATACAATACTACCTACCCATAAGAAACATACACACAAATATATACTGATTTGTAATGATATTTTTGAAAAATAAAAGAAAATAATGACTTTTTTTAATCAATTTCGAAAAGTTCATATGAAAAAAATTAATTATTCATGTGTATGTAATCTTTTCCTACATAATTTTTCTTAGTCGGGAAAAGAGAACTAAAATTCAAACATATTTAAGCCAAGTCGCACGTCACCAAAAGAAATAGATTAAATTTTTGCGATGAATTTTTTATCAAAATTAATACGTTAAATTAAAGTGAACAGATTAGTTTACCCTTTGTTTGCTTGGTGGTGGCGTGGAAATACTACATTAAAATCATATTAATGTATAAAATGATGGATATGATATAATATTAATTATTTTATATTATATTATATTTGTATGTAAAAAAATAATAAAATTATAAGAAAGATTAATCATTTTTAGTATAAGATGATTTAATTTTTAAAATAAAATAATTATTTTTAATTTATAAGATTAATTATATATTTTATTATACTCTTAAAATTATATTCATAATTTAATTATATAAATTTTTTAAAAAATTTAATTAATAAAAAGATTATTTTATTTAAAATTTTATACAAATCAAATATAATAAAATAATATTATTTAATTTAATCCTATTTATAATATTCTTTTTATCTTATTCCATTATAATTTTATATGCTAAACACGTCCTAATCCTATTAATCTTGTTTTAATTAAAATTTCCGAGTGGCCTGAATAGGGTTGGGGAGCATATGCAACAGGCTAGCTGATCTAATTAAATGCCCTTCTCCTGTTGAGGCACCTTTTCAAAGGATAAAACTATGAGGGCAGCTCTTTGGAATTTCGCTCACGATGGATGCTGTTCAACAGCTTTTTATCAACAATAATGATATGTTTGCATCAACAAAATTTATATTTAGATAAATGAAGATTATTCTTTATTAATTTTTTATATGTTACTATATTCATTTTCATCAATGATATTGACCCATTGCATCAACAAAATCTATATTTAGATAAATAAAATTATTCTTTATTAATTCTTTATATGTTACTACTCTATTCATTGAATGTTACCCATTTTTAACTAATATTTTTTTCTTTTCTAATAAATTTTAATTGAAAAAGTAACCTTTTTAAAGGTTCATGAACACTCCACATCAGCTTTTTTACAAGAGCACCTTCTGATTTTTTTTTTTTCTTCAAATTAGCACCATATAATTAAGTTTTGTTCTTATAAGGGGTTTAGATCGTTAAATTAAAACAAGTAAAATTATCTAAATGACTCAATTAAAAAGTCATCTTATTTGTTTACGTAAGGTATTTTTTAAGTGTATTGGATAAAATTAATGATATAATCCTATAATATAAAAGTTACATTAATATAAATTTAAATGGATCTCTACCCGACAAACTTTAATAACAGAATAATAATAATACACAATATGACAAGATGCAAAACCCATTTTAGCTTTATGGGATTGAGATGGTGTCGCTTTGAATCCAAAAACCTGAAGAGATAGATATTCAATAAAAAAATATATATATTTACTGTCTTTTCTTGTCTCTTTTGGATGATTGTTGTCCTCTGCACCTTTCGGCGCTTATTAGATCCTCACCCCACCACCATACCCGTTTCGCTCGACTGCTTCTTTGACTGTTGCTTCTACTGTTACATTTGTATTGGTTTCTTTTTGCTATCATGTGAAGGACTTGCTTTTTATCTCTTTGGACTTATTTGGGTGTGAAATTGACGAACTTTAATAACATGTTAAAGTTAGGCAATTAATTATTCTAGATATTTAAATCGAATAACAATTTTTTATCACACGTGACATTTTTCAAATTTTATTTGAATTTAATTTTTTTGGATAATCTTAAAGCATACTTCTCTCCTCACTTTATGTATGTAAGATTTTATTTTTGAAACATTTAAACAAAAATTCAATTTTAGTTGACTAGAAAAGATAAAAAAACAAATTAAATATCATTACGGTATTTGATTTTTGACGTTTTTTCATTTGACAAAAAAAGAAATAAGAGATATAAATTTGATTTAAATGCACGATATAAATTTTATTGGAATTCGCAGCAGAAGGAATTCTCTCATCTTATCAAAAATAACTAGACACTTAAGAATTTAATCGATAAAATGAAATCCATGAGTTTTCACCGCGTTGTGAACGTTGAAAACAATTTAACATTTAAGGATTTAATAAAAAAAATAACATTTACGATAAAAATTAATCTTATCGCGGATTCAAAAAATTTTATAATTATTATAATATTTTTTTCATACATTTAAAAAAGTTTGAAAGACATTCAAACATTTTTCTTCAAAATTAAAGAATAACAAACACTATAAGAAAATAAAAAATTAGTAACAGTGTTGTAGTAACGTTTCACTTAAAAACATCGTTAGCTTCTATGTTTTTATAAAACTTAAGGTGTTTTTTTATCAAAACGTCACTAAATATTCAAATAGCGGTATTTATAATTATAAAGTTATTAAAAACAAAAATTAGTGGCGTTTATCGACTAAAACGCCTTGAATAATCTTTTATAAAAAATTGAAGTGATTATTGAATGCATTTTTTACAAAAAATATCTTGAATAATTGTCTTATAAAAAATAGATAAGAGATTATTGAATGAGTTTTTGGTAGACAACACTTTAAATAATTCCCTCATAAAAAATAAAGATGATTATTGATGGCATTTTCTGCAAGAAACGCCTTCAATAATTTTTCCAAAAAATTGTAGAGGATTATTGAGACGTTTCAAACTAGAAACCCCTTCAATAATCCCTCAAAAAATCTAAAAAATGCTAAAGGGATGGATCAAACCTACAACCTTATGGTATATACCGGTCTGGTCCGGTATGGAATGAACTTATAATCATGGAATTGACAAAATCTAAAAAATGCTAAAGGGATGGATCAAACCTACAATCTTATTGTTAACGATCGTATACTTTAACCGATAACACTATTCTATTTTTGATAGATTTATTGACAAAGAGATTTATTGAAGGCGCTTTTGACTAAAAATGCATTTAATAATCTTCTACAATTTTTAGAAAAATTATTAAAAGTGATTATTGTAGAAAATACCTTCAATAATCGTCTTTATTTTTTATGAGCAAATTATTCAAGGTATTTTTTTGCCTGAAACACCTTTAATAATCCCTCATAAAAAATGAAAGGGATTATTGAAGACATTTTTTGTCAAAAACGCCTTCAATAATCTCCTCATCAAAATTTAAGAGAATTATTAAAGACATTTACCTAAAATGCCTTTAATAATCCTTTGTAAAAAATTGAAAGGGATTATTGAAGGTATTTTTGGTCAAAAACACCTTCAATAATCTCCTCATCAAAATTTAAAGGGATTATTGAAGGTATTTTTTGCCTAAAACGCCTTCAATAATCCCCTCATAAAAAATAGAGAGGATTATTGAAGATATTTTTTTTTGTAAAAATGCATTGAATAATCCTTAAAAAAATAATTGAAGGGGATTATTGGATGCGTTTTTAGCCAAAAACGCCTTCAATAATCACACTTTCCTGCTGGTAAATTTTTTCTTAAATTTAAACCCACAAGACCCCATTTTTGCTTTTATTTTCCCTACTAATTTCTTCTATTTCTGCTCATTTAAGGTTTGCTTTCTTCTCATTTTCTACCCAAGTTTTTGTCATTTTGTGACCAATTTTCATCTTTTTTCCTTTCATTTTTGTAAATTTTAAGTTTACTTTCTTGCAATTTGGGTCAAATTCCTAAACTTTATGTTTGATTTATTGGGTCAAATCTTTAAATTTTCTATCTAATTTATTGCATTTCTGTCGCTGTTCAAGCTCTATTAGTAAGCTTCATTTCAACATTGGCAATTGTTAGTGTTTAACTGTTTTTTTTTTTTTTTACCAATTTATTTCATTATTGCAGTTCTGAGTTTGGTTTTGTTTGGTTGGTGAGAAAAATTCAAGATGAATAAAAAGTGAAAAAAATAGAGTTTTTCTCTAAAAAACTTGAAATTAAAAGTTGAATTTAGTTATAAACATGAATGAAATTTTAGGTTTAGTTTTTTTTTTGAACAAAATATTTTTTAAATTACTAAAAAATTATTACTTGTTAACATGAATTTGTTGATTCGTTCAAGATATCCTTAGGAAACCATTCTGAAATAGTCTATTATGTTTTTCTTTCATCTCATC